GGAGAAGCCCAGGCTGGTGATCAGGGTGGCCATAGGTTATGCCATCATAAGTAATCCCAGGGTAAATCCTTTGGAAAAACAAACACTCAACCTAGAATCTCTCCTTTCTGCCAATGCACAGATTCGAGCTATTACATTTTTTTTTTTTAAGGCAGAGGTCCCTTTCCTGCTTTTCCAGAGGACCATATTGAAACAATAAAAAAAATGGACCACCTTTCACAATGGATCTTCCAAAATGTTCTGTTGTTCCCAGTTTATTCTTTTGACGAGTATTGGCTGAGCCTCTGCTACAAACCAGGCACTGGGGATATGGTGGCAATAAAAACAAACAAGTTCCTACCCTCGTGGAGCTGACATCTCAGTAGATGAGCAACTGACAAAAATCTGGCTTCCCAATGCTTCCGTTCCCTATCTTTATCCTAGGTTGCCGTGTGTGTGTGTGTGTGTGAATCCAAAAACATAGACAAAGATGAAGGAAACTAAAGGAAACCAGGGAATTGGGTCCTAATGCCAATGTCAGAAGCAGGACTGTGTAGTGGAGCCATGGAAAGAGGTGATCCTCAGACTCCAAATAACTTCCAACTTTCAGTTTAAGGTCAGGAATAAAAAAGACTTCCAGAAGGTACATGTACTCAGAAGTTTATTCCTTTAACATATCACATCTCCCTCTCCCTCCTTCCCCTTCCCTCCTTTTCTGTCACACACACACACACACACACACACACAGCTTCCACCCACCAGGAAAAAATACCTCAAAGATACACACACACACAAATATACAAACTATACAAAACTCCACAAATACACAAACTACACACGATAGGAAACCCAGGCATGCCCACATAAAGGCATGCATTACATATTTTCAAGGACACACTGACACAAACATAACCATTACCTTCTCTCACCTGTAACAGAATGACCACAATTATGAGCAACAGTACACATATCAAAACACTTTCTAACACAGGCTGTGATTCTCAGTCCAGCTGTCCCTGAGCTGCTCTCCCCACTGCTTCTATAACGTTCTGAAGATTACACAGTTGGTAGCCAACTTCATATACATGCCTGTAAACAAGAGGGCTCAGCTTTAAATAATTATGTCAAAGAAATGACAACTGTGCTCTTTGCCAGAACAGGGATGAATAATTACAAAGCCAGGACATAATTAAGCAATTCTGACTGTCGGGTTCTTGAACTGTCTGATGTGTAGGGCTGGCATGCCCACCATGCATACCCTCCTGGACAGGCTTCATGCCCCTTTGATTTATGTTGCCTGATGTGGCAAGGGGGATCATGGTCTGGTCATCACAGAAGCCTTTCTTTGGGAGCCTCCCCACCTTCTCTGCATCCAGCTTGGTGCTCTTGGCATTGACAATGGCATGACTCCATGGCCAATATTTGCAAAAAAAAAAGATACAGCTTTTCTTTAAAATTCCAGGAAATGAGCAAAGCCTAGTTGCTGTGGGTCCATTAACTAACAAGACAAACACACCAGCCTAGAAGAGTCCATTGTAGCATTAGCTATCACTTCCTTAATGAGTGATGGCATCTTTCTATAGGACAATCAGAGCTCAGACAGAAAGCAGCTTTTAAACAACAAAAGCCAAAAGGCAGCAACGAAGGGGAAATGTGTCATCACGAGAGAAGGCTAGCGCAAACTCGCACTCAAGCGCCAGGGCCTGCCAGGTATCAAATCAAACCTTTGTGACATAGGGGGTTTATTAGTTCCTGGATGATTTTGCTTTTGCGTCAGCCGAGAACACCCAGACTGCCTGTTCCCTACCTCCAAGGCAAGGGCTGTGATTGGAGAGGCATTTTCCATTCTCCCAAACACTTTGTCAGGAATAAAATGAAAACTGCTCCCCAAATCACGGCCTCCTGGATCATCCATCAGAGCATTCTGCTGAATAAGCACAACAGGCCACTGCAGCCTGAGAAAGGACAGAAGCCAACTTGAGATTCCGATTCTGTGATGAAAAATAGGTCTTCACCAAGTGTGCTCAGCACAGCATCGGCAATTCACAGGGAGGAAATTGCTCTTCACTTAGAAGCTGACTCCGGGTGTACACAGACCTCCCAGAACATACATATGTATACACACACAGAGATCGAGGGCATATATACACACCTGCACAGGAACAAACAGACGTCTGCACACACTGTGAGCAGGCGAGAACCAGCCTTTTTAACACCAGTTTATTAATTCAGCAAGAAGCTCATTTGGACTCGTTCTCTCTGCAAGAAAAGTACCAATGCGTATCTCCGAAAACAGGCCGGGGAGAGCAGCCTGGCATTCGAGAGAAGCATATAGTGTGATGTGAACGCGGGGGCACAGCCAAGTAAGTCCTGTGCGTGTGAAGCATCAGGGCGTAGATACAGCACTTCACCGGGAGCCCAGGCCCCTGGGTTTTGATCCCAGCTCTGCCTCCACCAGACCGTGGGGGCCTCCAGACACAACCTCCTCACCTGGTTCCTTCACCCATCAAACGACGGCATACACCAGGTGATTTTGGAAGTCCTCTCCAGTGTAGAAATCATGTGACTCTCCAAAAAGGTAACAGTTGAAGATCCCCATGCTTTGTCAGAGCATCTTTTGTCTCTCCTCAACTAATTAATGGGTATTTTTAAGCTTAACACCATTAGTAAAGATGTGGGAGTCAATCACACAAACATAAGCTAATTCTATAATTGATTAGAAACTAATTTGGAGCTTTGAAAATCATGTCTGCTCATGCTGCTCATGACTCAGAGAGCTGGCTACTACTGGATTTTAAGGAGCCCTTCCCACTTGCTTTCAAAGGCCAGGTGGGATTTCAGTCCTGGCTGCCATCTCGACCCCAAGAGAGCAGGGCAGCTTTTACCTGTTTTCTTCCTTTAGGCCTTCTTAGGAGGTTTTTATTTGGAACAGAGAAATGCACAGGGAAAATGGGTGGCTCACTGGCTCCAGGGGTAAGATCCCAGTTGAAGGATGTGGCTTCTGTGGTCAGACACACCGGTCAAGCTCCAGTCCCAGCTCTTACTAGCCAGGCTGCCCAATTAACTTAGCTGGGCTGCCCAATTAACACCTCTAGGCCTCAGTTACCCCACCTAAGAGTCAGCCAATGCTCCCTTCCTCCTACATTTCAGGGGGGGATTGTGTGAGGACTCACAGATCTGAATACAAAGAGCCTTAGGGCAGCAGTGAGCACACAGGTGGGGTATTGTATTTAGTGCCCCTTCAGAGTTCCTGGGATAATGCAGAGCTTCCCCTGTCAAGAACAGGGGGAGCAGGAGAAATACCGATCTGTCCTAGAAAGGGCATGCATACATGAAGGTGGAAAATGTCGAATGGGCAGGAACCCAAGATATTATAAACAGTTCATTTGTTGTCCTTTGTTTGGTGATGTCGGCTGCCTCTGAAATCTTTTAACCAAAAAAATAAAGGAGGCCAAGAAATAAATTATTTCATTTGGACAAAATTACAAAAGCTGAAATAACTAAAGGCAGTCATGAGCAATACATCAAATTTGTGCCTCGATAAGGAAAATTGTTAACACTTTAATAACTATGAAACGAATCACTCAATTAATTTCCCACATGCTGAAACAGGTAACAATACATTTATCTACCAGTATTATACCCTCTGTATCATATATTTCCACAACTGTTAGCAATTTTATTCAGCATAACGGGAAATAAGTTGCACCTCACAGATTCAGGGAAAGAAAGTGGCCTGAGGCCGGCTGCCAGCCGAGAGACTTGATGGAAGAGGTTTCCTTTTTCTGTTTGGGTTCTGTTTGTTTTTTTCTCTTTCCCTCTTAATCATTTCCAATGCATGTGTAAGGCGCTCTAAGTCAATAAGCGAGGACAAACTAGACCTCCAAGATTTCTGGGCCAGTGTTTTCAACACACAAGCTGGGATCCCACAGGAAGTGACTAGATAGCTCCACGGGGCCCTGGGGCAGTAATGCACCTTGAAAGGAGTCATCAAGGGCCATCTGGTCCATTCCTTGGCCTTGGGCTTCATGGAAGGACCCCAACTCCTCCCAAACAGATAATTTTTCACATCCTTAAAAATCTCTTTGAATCTGAATCCAATACTCAAAGCCACATCTCCCCTGCCTCATCAACACTGTCATTAAGATGACACCATATTCACTTCCATGGCCTCGACACAGACTCAGCTGATAAAGGAAAGGTCAGTAAAACTATTCCCATGAGCTCTAGAGAACTGCATGTAGGGAGAAGATGCTAGTCCCAGGTCATATTGTCAGGAAAAAAATGGCCTTTCCTGCTAATAATATCTCCAAGAGCTATTGAGCCCTCAAACCTATGAACAGAAGAAAATCACTCTCCCCTACCTCCACTATGGCCCCAAGACAGGAGAGCTCCCTCTGGGTCACTAGAGGAATCTTATCCATCTGAGGAATCCAAGCTGTCTTCTTTCTCTGCTACAGACCTGCAGAGGCCCCACCTTGTAAACAAAACATCTTCAAGAAGGAGACCTGAAATCTGCCCCCAGAACATCACCATTGGGCTGCATATGGTGCTGCTTTATTGGTAAAAGAGCCACCTGGGGGGGTGCCTGGGTGGCTCAGTCATTAAGCGTCTGCCTTCGGCTCAGGTCATGATCCCGGGGTCCTGGGATCGAGCCCCACATCGGGGCTCCCTGCTCTGCGGGAGGCCTGCTTCTCCCTCACCCACTCCCCCTGCTTGTGTTCCTTCTCTCAGTGTGTCTCTCTCTGTCAAATAAATAAATAAAATCTTTAAAAAAAAAAAAAAAGAGCCACTTGGGTGAAATCACCTTACAAATAAGGTCCCCTTAGCTGGATCACAGGAAGATCCAATTTATTGTAGAAGTCCTACTTCTTGATGGGCCAACAGTATATCCATGGATAAAACCCTGATGGGAGACCTCTCCTGCATTCCAAACATAGATGAACATCCTCCATGCTCCAAGAATAACCGGTGAGGCAAGACCTAAGTCCCTTGTGAAGACCAGAAAGTAGGCAGCTTACCTTGGGCTTCACCACCTTCATGAATGACCCTCTGAGCAAAGCTTCCTCTCGTTCTTGTCTGGTTACTTTCCGGGCATCCAGAAACTTCAAATTGGGCAGCTTGTGCAGAACAAAGCATCTGAAAGAAAACAGTCAGACAGGGGCGCCTGGGTGGCTCAGTCGTTAAGCGTCTGCCTTCGGCTCAGGTCATGATCCCAGGATCCTGGGATCGAGTCCCACATCGGGCTCCCTGCTCGGCGGGAAGCCTGCTTCTCCCTCTCCCACTCCCCCTGCTTGTGTTCCCTCTCTCACTGTGTCTCTCTCTCTGTCAAATAAATGAATAAAATCTTAAAAAAAAAAAAAAAAGAAAGAAAACAGAGACAATGCAGGAGGGTAGGTGATGGCCTCAAAGATCCATGCAATTTGTCTCATGCTCAGGGATCTACATCATTAGGTCCTCAGAAGTTTAGACTTTGGCTCTGCTTCTCTTTTTTTTCACAAATAATGAATGATCACTCTTTGCAGAAATCCACATAATTATATTTTACACACACAACTAATCCTTAAAAATGTATGCTAATGATTGCCCTTGATTCAAATGTAGACACACACACACACATACACACACACTCACACACACACACACAAGAATGCACACACCCAATGAGCCAGGAAGATCCTATCAATGTATATCCCCCCACCCTTCCATTCTAGAAATGGGCCCGGCTTCTTTGCTACACAGAAAGTTCTCAGGGAAACTAACCTATAACCTAATTGTACTATTATGCCACTGCCATTCCCATGAGTCATCTGTGTAACTCTCATTTCTGAGATAAAAGCAAATCTTTGGGATGCCGGGCTGGCTCAGGCAGTAGAGCATGTGACTCTTGATTTCAGGGTTGTAAATTCAAGCCCCACAATGGGTGTAAGGATTACTTAAAAATAAAATCTTTAAAACAAAACAAAACAAAATAAATCTTCAATTTGAAACTAAAACAAGAAACATTGACTAGCCGTCCAGGACAATAAACTAGAGGTTGTAATAACATAGATGACTTTGGGATAGAAGTAAGGAGCACACATAACTGAGAAATGCTTCCTTGAAGAATTGAACAGGGGTCTTGAGGATTTTCCTCATCATCCCTGAGTTACTTCCACACTGGCACTAAGATTATTTTTACCAAGGTGAAAGAAGAAGAATCAGCTTATAGGGGATATTAATTTAATAGCCCAACAAATACTAATACAGATTCCCCCACAAAGAGTCTTCGGTGTCCATCATGGCCTCCAAGGATAAGCTAATGGTTACTTGTGTGATGAACTATCCTCAAGCAGGTATATTTGGAATTGATGAGAAGATCCACGAGGCCATGGGATAGGTATATAAACATACAAATAAATACATAAAGGGTACAGATACCTGCCTATACTTTTTCCTCAGGAACAGTTACCAACCCAGATGCTTTCCATTGAGCCCCCATACTTGATCACTCAAAGGAGCTATTGTTTAGACCCTGTCCTGCTTAGGAAGAAGAGGTAAGTATCCAATGTCAAGAGCAATAGATTATCTCCACAGGAATCTGTCATTTCCTTCCTGTATTCAGCCTCTTCAGTATTCACTCACCTTTTAAATCCCAACCCACATGAACTTTTCTTCTGCATCTCCAGACCATATTGTTTTCTCCCCTCTCTGCACTCCCAGGATATACTGTGAACACCACACCATATAACATTTGGTTGTTTTTTAATCATTTTATTGGTGTTCAGTTGATGTCCTCACCTATAAGCTTCTTAAAGGCAGGGACGTTATTTTTCTCAACCTCATATTGTCTCAAAAAGTAGCTTTAGAATGGACTCAAAAAAATACCAGTTTATTTCAGTTGTATGAATATTTCTTGAGCACCTAACATGTGCCAGGCCCTAGGTACACAGAGGTGATTATAACGTGATTTCTACTCGTAAAAGGGTTCTCAGTATAATGGGGAAGATAGACTCATACAGAAAAATTAGAAATCCACACAGCTAAGTGCTGAGATTGGGGTTATGTGCAAACTAATTCTGGGGAGCACAAAGAAAGGGACCTAACATTACTCACTGAATGACTGAAAACCAATGGCTGGAGGAGAAAGAGGAGAAACAAGAAATCAAAAGTGATCTTCAAAAAACAAAACCCTAAAGCAATCTTAAGCACTGAGCTTTTTCTCAGTGCAAATGTTACCTGGGGTGTTATAGCATGCCCCCCTCCTCACGGGAGCACTGGGTTCCCAAAGCCAGCTCCCACCTTCATAAGATGGTCTTACATCACCAGGTGGCCTCCATATACTTGCCCAAAGATGTGGCTGATCATTGAAATGCCAGAGAAAACAGCATAGAGGCTTCTAGTTGAAATACTCCTTAAAGTGAAAATACTCTGAGTTTTTTGAGGTATACTTTTCTTCCCCAGAAGTGGCCACCCCAACATCTGAGGTTCTGGAAATTTGACTATCTACTTCCAGCTTCCTCCCTGGTCTCAATCTACGATCATCTTTCCAACTTCTCCCTGAGCCTCTCCCTTGCCTTTCCAAATGCCCTCTAAACTTATCCAAAATCAGAAAGTTTCATGAAGCCTCAAATGAACTTCTATCCTCCAACAGAACTCCCACTGGCCTCAGTCAGTGTCAAAGAAAACTTCCATCTTCTGCGTATAGCAGCGAAGTCTTGATGACAACAGACTCTTTCAAATAAAGACATCTACAGACGGAAACAATATGTCAGGAGTGACGCTCAGAGGAGTAAAGACACCCACTAAGTGTAGGGTGGGAAAAGATGAATATTCAGGTGAAGAAAACATCAGTATTAGAAAATCAGCCAATGTTTAATGATGGAATGAAAGATGTCTTCACGGGGCTGGCAGGAACCACGATGACAACAGACAGCACGTTGTCATTTTGCCCCACTTTGGATCACAGCCCTGAAATCAAAGGAGAGAGAGAGAGGTGCTGGCTTTTAAGCTAGTTAAAAATTTTAGATGACAAAGAGCTGCTGTTTTCAGAGCACTCATCTTAAACAATCGAAGAAACAGCCCATGAAATAGGCTGCCAGTCATCCCTGAAACTAGGGCTGACTTGACTCCCATCTTGACGGGCCGGCCTGGGGTTTCTAGGTGGTAGGTGCTTAGAGAGGTTTGAGGGACACTAGGAAGGCTTGCCCCCAAATAATTCAGCCTGAGACTCAGCCCAGGTTCCAAAGTTCCTCCCTTAGAGATGGCTTCATACATTCACTCACACAATCAATAATTAGCGAGCTGCTACCACCTGTCACAAACCGTGCCAGGTGCCAAGAATAAGGTGAGGTGTGAAACAGACAAGGCCCCTGCTCTCAAGCAGCTTATATTCCAGCACAGTCACTCTCAAACTTAAGAGGGCATCAGCATCCCCTGGACGGCTTGTTGAAATACAGATCACAGGACCCCACCCCCAGAATTTCCGATCCCCTAGGCCCGGGAGTGTCCATTTCCAATAAGTTCTCGGGGTGGCTGATGCCACGGATTGTGCGCAAACCACTGTCCAAGTGAAAATAACACCACGATGCATAATAGTTTTGGAATTATGAGGTTGGTAAGGTGAAGAATCTCCCTCCCAATTCTGCTCACGGTCTGCCCTACCCCAGTGTCTGTGGTACACAGCGCTCCAAAGGTAGTCACATCCACCCGATCTCCCTGCCCCTGGGTGGTTTGGAACTAGCTCCAAACATTATTGCCAAGTGATAAGTCAGCGGGCTTTCTGCCTGCCTGCCCCATCCCAGTCTTGAGAGATCTATTTCCCTTTGTTCTAGGTCATGTCAGGGTGTCAAAAGCTGCAGCTTCAATCCTGAGTATAATACAAGTTTGCCATAAAAATACAACCGAGGATTCCCGAAGCCACAGAATGAAGGCTTTTACAATATCAATTCGACCCTTGTAAATTTAATCCAGGGTTATTTGTTGCACCAAAATCTCTTTACTGTGATGTATTACTTAGTTACTGGGGTTATCACAGCCGTATCCTAAAGTTGCATAGTACATAAAACATTTCAGTTAACAATGCGGGAAGGTTAACTCCCCCAGATAACCTGCAATCACAAGGGCTAGTCCAGATGACATGCCTCTGTCAGCTTCCACGAGCTATTGATGGTTCAATCAGTTTGTTTTGAAGGTAAAGTACAACAAAAGGGCAGTAAACTTATTCAGACTGTCAACAGGGGCTATCGGGAATGGGGCTTGCAGGTAAGTAATTCTGGGTGTTTTAAGGCTATTATCAAACAGCAATGGTTGAAGGAAGAGACAGCTACTAATAACACAGAAGGCAGCCATCATAAACCACTTTATGGCAGAAACCCCCATCTATAAATCCTGCGACACCCGGAGACAGCTTCAGATTTATAAAACTGCTTGTTAAGCCAGGGCACTGCTTAATGAAAAGAGATCGGTCTAAGTTCTGAGTCTTATGTCCGTAGCTCCAGAGGGCAACTCCAATTTTCCTGACCTTCCCAAGGTGGTTGGGCGAAAGCCCTGGAGCTGGGGGCAGGGAGTCAGGGGCACTCTCGGCTGTGAAGTGGAAGGTGAGGTTATCAAGAAGAAATCAGGGATCCTGGGAAGGTGTGTAAAGACCCATTTGTTTCTGTCTGAAAGCAGATTCTCGAAAAGTGAGACCCGCACACAGTGCTTTTCAAGTTCTCTCTCTTCATATTCAATGTTCTGTTTTCTTACAGGACTCCTCTAAGGAGACACCTAAAACTGGCAGGGGGAGGAAAGGAAGAGCAGAAAGCCTTTTTTGTTTGTTTGTTTTTTTGCTCCCAAATCAATTTTCTCTGCCCGAATCCCAAAGCTCTGGCATTTTTCATCTAGACTTCAAAGGGAGAGGAGGATGCTCTTTCTTCTTGCTCAAACTGCTACCCCAGGGGGGGCTGGCTGCTCCCCAGTAATGCCGCACAATCACAGAAACACCAAGATGGCTCTCCATTGTCTGCTCCCGGAGTTGGCTACCATGTCTCTTTCTCTGAGGAGACTCTGCTAAAGAAATATCAAGTTTCCAGATCCTAAGGGAATCAGAATGCAAGGTCACCTGGAGTTTTCTCCTACCTCTTCCCGTTTATGGCAGTACAGAACGCCCATCCTCCCCC